TGAGTTTGGAAGTATGTCTTCTTCAGTTTTTTGGAAGAATTTGAGAAGGACTGGTATTAGTTCTAACTCATGGAATAGGATTAGCTTCCATTTATTTGTGTCTTCAATTTCTTTAATAAATATTTAATAGTTTAAGTGCATTAGGTCTTTGTTTTCTTGGTTAAATATTTATTGTAAATGTAATTGTTCTCTTGATTTCTTTTTTTTTTTTTGGATAGTTCACTGTTACTGTGTAGAAACACACAAAGATGCTAAGAACACACAATAAGGAAAGAACAGTCTCTTCAATAGGTGGTATTGGAGCCAGTTGCTGGTGACTCACACCTGTTATGCTAGCTACTCAAGTGGCAGAGATCAGGAGGATTTGGTTCAAAGCCAGCCACAGGCAAAGAGTTCACAAGACCCTATGCTGAAAATACACAACACAAAAAAAAAGGGGCAGAGGGGAGAAATGACCCAAGCCTTGTATGCACATATGAATAATAAAACAATAAAAAAAAAAAAAAAACACAAAAAAAGGATTGGCGGAGTGGCTCAAGTGTTTACAGTGCCTGCCTAGCAAGTATGAGGCCCTGAGTTCAAACTCCAGTACTGCCTTCTCCTCAAAAAATTAGAAAATAAATAAATAAATGGTATTGGGAAAACTGCAAATCTACATACAGAAGACTGAAATTAGACCCCATCACACATTATATACAAAAATCAACTCAAAATGGAGGAAATATTTAATGTGATACTTAAAACTGTAAAACATTTAGAAGGAAACGTAAAGGGAAAACTCCATGACCTTGGTGTAGGCAATGATATTTTCGGATCTGAATCTAAAAACCACAGGCAACAAAAGCAAAAATAGGCAAATGGGATTATATCAAATGAAAAGCTTCTGCAAAGCCAAGAAAACAATGAAAGACTGAATAAAAAAAAGCTACAGAATGGAAGAAAATACATGCAAACCAAACATCTAAGAATAGGTTAATATCTAAAACATACAAGTAACTCATACAACCCAAACATAAAAACTAATAACCCCATTAAAAAATGAGCAAAGGATGTCAATGGGCATTTCTCAAGAGAAGACATACAAATAGCCAAGAACAACTTAAAAATGTTCAGGATTGCTAATCATCAGAGAATTGCAAATTAAAACCACAATGAGACATCATCTCATATCTATTAGAAGGGCTATTATCAAAATGTCAAAGATAACAAGTATTAGAGAAAATGCAGAAAAAGGGACACTTGTACATTGTTGGTGAGAATATAAATTAGTACAGCCATTTGGAAAACAGTATAGGTTCCCCAAATATTAAAAGTTGAACTACCATGTGATCCAGCACTGCCGCTACTGGGTCAATATCCAAAGGAACTGAACTCAGTATGCCAAAGAGACATGCAATTTCCATGCTCACTGCAGCATTATTCACAATATCTTAGACTTAAGTGTCCAACAACGGATGAATGGATAAGGAAAATGTATATATTCATAAAGGAATAATATCAGATTTAAAAAGGAAATTCTGTCCCTTGTGACAATATGGATGAACCTGGAAGACATGCTAATGAAGTAAGCCAAGCACAGACAGACAAATACTGCATGACCTCACTTATACATGCAGTATAAAAAGTTCAGAAACAGAGATTAAAATGGAGCTAGAGGGGAAGGGAACTGAGGAAATGTTGGCAAAGGACACAAAATGTCAGATAGGAGCATCTTCAAAAGATATAGTTTACAAAATGGCGACTAGTTGGTAATAATGCTTTGTATCCTTGAAAATTGCTAAATAGATTTTAAGTGTTATCACAAAAATGGTAATATGTGAGATAATACATATCATAATGTATACATATCTCAAAACAATATATGGAGTCAGGTATGGTAGTACACCCTATAACCCCAGCTCTCAGGAGGCTAAGGCAGGAGGATCACAAGTTCAAGGCCAACCTTGGCTGCACAGCAAGACTTTGTCTCAAAAGCAATATGGTATGCATGATAAATATATAATTTCTGTCATTAATTTTCTTAATTAAGAGATTTGCCTAAGGTCTCTCAGTAAAGACTAAATTGGTCTGTGAATCTAAGCAGACTGACTCCCAGAGTCCTTATTAACTACTATATAATTGTAGCCGTTTTATTAGCAATATTTCTTAAATATTTTTCCAAGTCAATAAATGTATATATACTCAAGCTTTTTAATGAATGCATACTATTCCATTGGTTTATAACAATATATAGAAATAACCTACAGATGTTGTGTACTTAAATTGTTTCTAATTGATTTCATTATTAAAAATTACTTTACTATGAAAAAATGAGGGGATACCCAAAAAGTCAAATAAAAGTTTTTAAGTGTTTAGACACTATCAGAAAAATTAAAAAGAAATATCATCTTTTTCTCTTTTCTAATAAAGTTTGACAGGCTCTAATATGGAGGAAGAGAGATAAGAAAATAGTTCTCACCTACACTGTTGACATAAATGGAAATTCTAATAACCACACGGAAGAAAAAGATATAACTATTATATGACTACTTAAATATGGGCCTAGAAAATTTCTTGCTCAGCAGACATTTCCTATCAAGGCAGAACTATTTTTGACACCCAAAAAACCTTCAACTATCCATCCATGGATAACAATATGCAGTCATACCAAAGGAACATGTACCAACAAAGGAATAAATCGGATTAACTTTTCCATCAACATCAGAAGAGGTCTTTAAAACAATGTTGGCTTAAAAAAAATATATGCAGAAAGAACTTATACCATCTGTAATAATTTTAAAATAAACATTTTTAAATCAATACTTTTTTGAAAAATGTCTGGTTCAGGAATTGGGGCAGAAAAAGAACAAGAAGAGCCTGGACATCTGCTGCCATAAAGTGAGGAATACTGAAGAAGAAACATGCTGTCAAAAGGATCCAAAGGACAGCTTAAAGGCACTCCAATTGCCCAATTCTGTGACAATTTAAGCAGCACAATGAATAATGACTGCAATGAACTATAAGCCATCAAATAAAAAGGAATTTGGGGCCTATGCTGATACCCAATTAATCAATTAAGATGAAAGAAAATCTCTTTAAAATAGAAAGCCAGCTCATTACAGAAATAGCATGGTAAGAGTTTGAGAATCACCATTTCTATAACTCATAGTAATAATGTATTCAGGCAAGAATCATCCATATGTCCCCCAACCATAATTACAAAATGTCTCTACAGATTACTTATGGATTACAAAAGGAATAGAAAGCTACTTTTATATTAAAATTCACTAGACTTAAATCAACTGACCTTAATCAAGTGAGCTGAACATGTCCTAAAATGGGACAAAATGATACCAGCTTCCTCCCAATGCAATGCACTCAAGAACACACATCATTTGTAAGTTATTTCTGTCAAAATGCTTTATATGCATAAAGTAACAACAAAACAATTCAAATTAAGGGACAAAACAAGTGATGTGCATTCCTACAAATATCAGACATGAAAGACAGAAAGACTGATCAATATTAAAGGACACTAAAGAGATTGATAACTGTAATTTGTGATCTTAGATTGGAGAAAAGTTGCTATAACGAACATAATTAGACAAGTAGTGAAATTTTGACTATAGATCCTATGTTAAATATAGAATGTCATCATTGTTAAATTTCCTGAAATTAACAACTTATACTGTGATGTATGAGAGAGTAGCATAAGATATGATGGATAAAGGTGCAAGCTTTCTACTACTATCAAATGGTTAATACAGCATAATAATATGTATGCATGTGTATATATATTTGTACAATATATACATGTGTGTATATATACATATATTTACTTATATAAATACACAAATATATACTTATTTATTTTTATGTATATATATATGTAATTAATAATGTATAAATATAAAATAGAATAATAAAAAGGCAATGGTATGGAGACAATAAAAATATTGGTGATTGCCAGGAGTTGAAGTGAGGGAGCAATGAACAGAGCACAGTGGATTTATTGACTAATTTTCCTTAATGGTCTTATTTGACAAAATAAAAAATAGTCAAATCAGTCTAATATTATTTGGAAATTCTACTGGTCTATGAAACTTAGTATTTGGAAACTACTAACATGTCAGATTAAAATAATTCATCAGAATGTCACTTCATTTTTTGGCCTGACTGACTCATTAAAAACAATTCTACCATTCAAAAATCCTCTTCTCTAGTCAAGCTACTGTCTTTACCAACTTCAAACCATGATTTTGATCCCCTTGGACCCTTGCTCTAAATTGACTTTCCCCTTCCATTATCCTTCCTCTAAATCTTTAAAATCTATCTAAAAGCAAGGAGGCTTTCCTTAACACTCTAGCCTATATTCATCCTTTTCTGCCATAACTACCTACCTCAAATATCTCTAGTGCTTAGTTCATTCAGCCCAAGCTACTTATGAAAGAATGACACCAGGGAGCATATTCAAAAGAAGACTTTCCATGGTTCAATCCCCGGTTTCAGCACCAAAAAAAAAAAAAAAAGTTTCCACCATGTCAGTGAATTTTAGAAGAATGAAAATTTGAATTTCAATGATGGCCACAGACCAGTATTTTTTAATGATGTTGATGTACAACCTGACTTCGGAATAATTAATCCATACCACAGAGTCGGAAACTTGACAAAAATATTTATGATTATTTTTAAATAAAAATTATCTGTGCCTTGTAGAGCTTCTTCTAGGGAACAAAGAACACTTGTTAAATAGGAATAAATTTAACCATATTAATCACGATAGTTACATATCTATCTTAAGACTTCCCACGGAACATCAAATGTGCATGTCTGATGGTTGACTCTATATATGAAGGCCTTAATTTTTAAACAAGTCACTTCAACTGCAACTGCATATTTTGACACAGACATGCAGAGGCATTTTTGAAAATATTTATTACAGGAGGGCAACCATTGAAAATGTGCAACAAACAAAATTTGATTAAAAATAAAGTAAGTTAACCTACACATGGTTTACTAACCTGCTTGTTGTTCTCTGCCATGGAAAGCTGTAATACCAAGAGCATGGAGTCTGCACCACATACAGTAGTTCTTTCAGAGCTACAAAGAGCACGGCAATTCCTCCTAAACTCCTTAATCATATCCAAGACAGATGTCTGGTTAAGCACAGCCATTCTCTTAAAGTAGAACAGAATACAATGATAAAGTGCCTTATTTTAAATGAAGATTAACATTTACCATGTGGAAGCAAGCACAGTTACAAAAAAATAAGTAGTCAGCAAGAGGTTATTTAATATTTACTAAAATTGCTTTTAATTAAATTTTGAAAAATATAATAACATAATTTCTGTCCAATCATTATTTTCCTCTATTTTAGTTTTCTTAAGCCAAATCTTTTCAAATAACAAAAATCCAAAGTTCAACTTTGAAAACTCACACAAAACAGACATGCAAATTCTAAAAACTTGTAATTATAGACACAGACATCACTAATTAAAATTATATTTCCAATTTGTTCTGAGACAGATGGTATGTTTGTTGCAAAAAAAAAAATTTTTATTTTAAGTCAACTTCCTCCAATTCCTAATCCCAAAAGAGGTAATATTTTTCTACCTAATTGAATCTGGGCCAGTCTTATGACTTGATTTGGCCAATAAAATGTGATGAGAATGACATATTGAAAATTCTAAGCCTAGGCCTTAAATGGTCTCTGAAGAAGAATTAATAAAACAAGAATAACTGATATCCTTTTAGCTAGAATCTGGGAACTTAGATTTCAGGAGGATTTCCAATAAGAGTAGTCAGTGTGCTAAACTGTTTGTAAAAACAGTATAGTTTATGCTGAACACTGATTTCCTTCTGAGTTTGGAATTTTGTTACATGCCAGACAGGGCATGCCTATGTGTTCAACCCCCAACTTAAAAAAATATGTTTCTAGTAAGCCTCCCTGATAGACAACATTTCACATGGGAAATGGAATTGGTGTGAATTGGTAGTAGTTGTCATCTTGGTAATAGTTGTCACCTTGAGTGCTTTGGTTCTCCTTCACATGTCCTCTTCAGCAGACTAGCTTGGACTTCTTCATAATGCAGGCTCAGGACGATAAAAGAGTAAGAGTTGCAAAATGGATCAAGGATCTTAATATCAGACCACAAACTCTAAAGTTGATACAGAAAAGAGTAGGAAATACTCTGGAGTTAGTAGGTATAGGTAAGAACTTTCTCAATGAAACCCCAGCAGCACAGCAACTAAGAGATAACATAGATAAATGGGACCTCATAAAGCTAAAAAGCTTCTGTTCATCAAAAGAAATGGTCTCTAAACTGAAGAGAACACCCACAGAGTGGGAGAAAATATTTGCCAGCTATACATCAGACAAAGGACTGATAACCAGAATATATAGGGAACTTTTTAAAACTAAATTCTCCCCAAACTAATGAACCAATAAAGAAATGGGCAAGTGAACTAAACAGAACTTTCTCAAAAGAAGAAATTCTAATGGCCAAAAAACACATGAAAAAATGCTCACCATCTCTAGCAATAAAGGAAATGCAAATTAAAACCACACTAAGATTCCACCTCACCCCTGTTAGAATAGTCATCATTAGTAACAGGATGTGGGGGAAAAGGAACCCTCTTACACTGTTGGTGGGAATGTAAACTAGTACAACCACTCTGGAAAAAAATTTGGAGTCTACTTAAAAAGCTAGACGTTGATCTACCAGTTGATCCAGCAATACCACTCTTGGGGATATACCCAAAAGACTGTGACACAGGTTACTCCAGAGGCACCTGCACACCCATGTTTATTGCGGCACTATTCACAATAGCCAAGTTATGGAAACAGCCAAGATGCCCCACAACTGACGAATGGATTAAGAAAATGTGGTATCTATACACAATGGAATTTTATGCAGCCATGAAGAAGAACAAAATGTTATCATTCGCTGGTAAATGGATGGAATTGGAGAACATCATTCTGAGTGAGGTTAGCCTGGCCCAAAAGACCAAAAATCGTATGTTCTCCCTCATATGTGGACATTAGATCAAGGGCAAACACAACAAGAGATTGGACTTTGAGCACATGATAAAAGCTTTAGCACACAAGGGAGGGGTGAGGATAGGTAAGACACCTAAAAAATTAGCTAGCATTTGTTGCCCTTAACGCAGAGAAACTAAAGCAGATACCTTAAAAGCAACTGAGGCCAATAGGAAAAGGGGACCAGGAACTAGAGAAAAGGTGAGATCAAAAAGAATTAACCTAGAAGGTAACACACATGCACAGGAAATTAATGTGAGTCAACTCCTTGTATAGCTATCCTTATCTCAACCAGTTAAAAACCCTTGTTCCTTCCTATTATCGCTTATACTCTCTCTACAACAAAATTAGAGATAAGGGCAAAATAGTTTCTGCTGGGTATTGAGGGGGTGGGGAGGAGAGGGAGGGGGCGGAGTGGGGGGTAAGGGCGGGGGTGGGAGCAGGGGGGAGAAATGACCCAAGCCTTGTATGCACATATAAATAATAAAAAATTAAAAAAAAGAGTTAAAGCTTCAAGGTCTTGTGTTGGGAGGGCCCAAGACCACTCCCAGATAGGATTGATTGCTAGGAGGGTTCATAGCACTCTACATACAGTGGAAATCATGGCTATGACTTATTGTAGCAAATGGATACAAAACATTGTCAAGAAAGGGAAAAGGCATAAGGCAAGGTTCAGGGAGACTAGACATAGGCTGGTCACACAGGTCATGCTTAATTCCTCCATTTCCCACAATACTACAATAAGTCATAGCCATGATTTCCACTGTATGTAGAGTGCTATGAACCCTCCTAGCAATCATCCAATCTGGGAGTGGTCTTGGGCCCTCCCAACACAAGGCCTTGAAGCTTTAACTCTCACTCTCTTATTGTCCTGAGCCTGCTTTATGAAGAAGTCCAAGCTAGTCTGCTTAAGAGGACATGTGAAGGAGAACCAAAGCACTTAAGGTGACAACTAATACCAATTCAAAGACATGTGAAGAAGGGAGGCTACTTTATGCTATGTAGCCCCAGTTAACGTGCCAAGTGAACTTCACTAACTTAAGTGATTCCAGGCAAGACCAGTGGAATCATTTAATCTAACCCAAATTGCTGACCTACAGAATCATATGCAAATAAATTGGTTGTTATTTTACAACCACTAGTTTTTGAAATGGCTTGTTCCACAGCAGCAGATAGCCAATACAGCAGCTCATACCCAGGAGCCACTTGGTGCCAGATACTTACTGTTCAAAAGCTTAGCATTGCTAACCTCACTGGATTCTCACAAGGTCCTAGTGAGATAGATCTATTATTATGCTCATTTTACACCTGAAGTAATACCCAATGTCGCTCTGCTAGTAAACAGCCAAACAGACATAAATTCAAGATTTCTAAGTCTACAAGATGGGCTCCTAAGTGACCATACTTCATATCTTCTCCTGATGCATACAAATACCTTTAAATAATCCAATGTAGTGCCAATATTTCACATACCAAAGTCTATACAAGGTGGCTAACTCCTTTCTAAGTTTACCAACATGCCTGCCAAGCTTTTTCCTGCGTATTTTTAATTAACTTGAGTCTCCAACATGTTCACCTACCCATGTGATATTTTCTATCCACATCCCATTTACTGACACCTTCTGTGATCCTTTTCTCCAATTTTTATGTAGCATAAACAGAATCTCAGATGTTTCCTAGGCATCTCAGTTTTGTACAATGAAGAAGCATAAGCCATTTACAAAATAATAATTTAAGTTATAAAAATAATCTGTGATGCTATTTAAAGATAGAAGTAGCAGACCATAAGTACTAATCCTCATAAATAGTTTAGAGTTGTAGTTCTCTCAAAAATATCACCCTCATCTCTTAAAAGAAAAAAAAAAAAAAAGAAGCATTAGCTTCAGTGATATGGTCAGTTTTCCTGAAATAGATTTGAAATAGTAGACTACTTGCTGGTATTACTTAAAGGTATTATAGGCTTAGATTGCTATACATGAAAACATACCTCGAATGAGATCATTCTGAATCCTGGCTCCACCACTTACTAGTTATCAGATCTTGGCCAAGATTATATCACTTCTCTCTGCCTCTACTTCCTTAAAGTAAAAAGGAAAGTACTTCCTATCTCGTAGGATTTTGTGGCAAGTAAATGGTATAAATACAAATAAAGCTTTTAAAACAGTACCTGGTACAGTTAAAAAACACAATAGTGATATCATGCACTGAGTCTCTAGGTTGTTTCTAGTCTTTTCAAAGAGCATCATTCTTGGTGGCAGAAAACCAACAGTCTCACTTAGGGACCAGCAAACCTTTGGAAAGGGACAAATAGTAAATATTTGGGACAATGCAGGTCATACAATGTGTGACACTATTATTCAACTTGACCTTATAGTGTGAAAACAGCCAGGAACAATACAAAAACAAATGAGCATTGCTGTGCTCCACTAAGACTTTATTTATGGACACCAAAATTTGTGTTTCATTTAATTTTCACACATCACAAAATATTCCTTCTTCACTTTTTCCCAACTATCTAAACATGTAAAATCCATTGTTAACTCAGGGGCTAGCTGCACACAAACAAGGCAGTGCAGCTGATATGCCAACCTCTACTCTAGTCCCAGCACTTCCAACCTCTCTTTCAGTGGCTGTGTGAGCCTAAGCTAAGCTTTTCACCTGGCTGCCAAACTAAGGGTACCTAGCATAGAAAACAGCAATGCTCCTCATTTCTCTACTTATCTTCCACCCTTTTGTGACAAGTCAATAAAACACTGAATATGCAAACACTGGAATGGCAGACAGCACAACACAAAAGGCAGCAGTAGAAGGTGATAGCAGTAATAAACACTTTTTAAAAACTGCATTCTAAGCTGCACTGGAGAAGCAATTGTAAGACAGGAAATTGTCACAGGGAGGCAATGTGAAATGGCTGAAACAACTACACTTTCGAGTATAATTAACATCCAGCACCCCACCCCAACCCCGCCTGCCATTCATTAGCTGTGTGCCCTTTGGTATTTAAAATCTCTGATAAGCATAAACATGTTCCTCCGTATAAAAGGGAAGATAATTTTGACCTAGTAGGATTATGAGACATTAGTGAAACAAGTAAACCGCCCCCATAGGGCCAGGGGCTGAGTAGATGATCAATAAGAAGTGACAGGCGATGGTGTTGTTGTTAGAATATGGGTCCTAAATGTTCCTTGGGAGGATGCGATAGCAAAGGAGAATTGTAAAATTGGGGTCTGAGGACGTCCTAAATACTTGCGCATTGCAAGCTGCCTCTCACTGGGCCTCAATCTCTCAATCTGCAGCCGATCCCCGAGGACCTTCCATCTCCAGTACAAGATACTGGGAAGTCTGTCCAAAGCATTTGGCCTACACAGACCCATCAAATTCCAGAGCGAAGGCACTGCCCAAACACCACCCCAGACGGTCACATAGCACTTTACAGTCACCGAATCGCCCTCACAAGAGTGAGGTTGAATCGTTACTGAAAGTGAGGCAGGCAGGTGGAGAAAAGGCGACACTCACCGGACTCGGGAAGGAGGACTAGGCAGAGGAAGGGTACAGCTGACTTGCTCCGGGGCCAACGCGCCAATCGCCCCGGGTTACATTTCAAATCTCGCGGGAGGAACCAGGAGCCAATTGCCGCATTCGCCCTTTGACCCGGAAGTAGAGTCGGCGCGCGCCGCATTAGACCACCGCCCAGATCAGCTCCGCTTGGATAGCTTCTCCTTCTTTTTCGGTGCGTATGGCAGCTTGGCGAACCTGTCCCCTGGCGTCCTTCCCTTTGATCTAAGGCTCAGAGAGGCGGGTGGCGCGGGACGCGCGAGGCTCCGGAGAGGCGTCGGCGCACTTTTAAGACATTTTTCTTGTTCTTTTCCTTCTTTGCACCTCCAGTTTTAGAGGGACAAGAACAGCCCTCCGTGTCCATTGAGGCCTTGTGAGTGTAGTGACATCAGGCTTTAATAAGCCCAAGTTGAAAGGTGGCACCCGAGTCCCTCGAATCTCTCAGGCCCCATACTTGTCCCCCCGATGCTTGACCTACTAGTCACCCTTACCACGTATCCTACCTCGGGTGGAGGTTCTGGTTTACAAGCTCGCTGGGGTGGGACCATCTGATTC